TAGTTCATATAATTTCATGTTCTGATTATTAATGGATGTTTATAGCTGTTTCTTTTCATTTTGAGTCGTTCCCTATCAGCAAATGAAGGTCCCGAGGGCTTTACACCCACAGGCTTTACTCCATTCACATCATCACAGTCAACTCTACTTTGAGGAGGCAGCTCTTCCCCTGTTGCATTTTGAGCGCTTTCCAACCTGAAGGGCTCATTTTCCGGCACTGTATCTGACAGTGTTTCTCTTATATTCCTAAAATTTTCAGTGACAAAATATTCAGAAGTAGTTCGTCACTACTTCTTCCTATCTGTCTTCGTCTGGAAGCTCATCTGAAACCTTTCCACGGTGGGTGACCCTGCTGGTATTTAAAATACCCATGGCATAGCTTCCAGAATCACAGAAACTCACAAGCCACCATAGTACGACAAACTGACAGACGTGTGGCAGTGGCTGTGAACAGGTGTAGTTAACGCTGTATGATTCGCTATGAACAGTCAATCAATTGAAAGGATGTTTCCTCAGGGGTGTGGCCTTTTCCAATATAGTGGACACTCAAGAAAAGCTTATTTGCTTTCTCCTGGGTCTGAATCTTGCATTTGGCTCATTTTCCAACCTCTGGTTCTTTGGATTTGAGCCAGTGGCCTGCTCTATTTTCTGCCTACTTGCCTACCTGTCTGCCAATCTTGGTTCATCTGATCCAGACTTGGGACTCTCCACCTCTACAACTGTGAGCCATTTCCTTGACATAAACTTTTCATATGTATAATAAAATATACACACACACATAGGATTCCTGGTGTGGCATTGTACAATCAGCACACTGGGCTGCAAACTACAATGTTAGCAGTTCACACACACCAACTGCTCCTTGGAAACCTGACATAGGGTCTGTAGGAGTTGGAACCGACTGGATAGCATTTAACAACAACAATGCATACAGATGTTTCCTGGGTTTGCTTTTCTAGAGAACTCAGCATATGACCCATACTATTTTGAAATTTCACCTTTAAATTTCATGACGTGGGTGATTTTTGTTGTCATCTAGTTTTGTTTCTGTTCATCATGTAGGGACGCCAGGACTCCAGGCACTGTGTGCTGCTATTGCTCCTGATTGTCGAGTCAGTTGCGACTCATAGTGACCTTGTATAGGGTGTCCAACGTTGTCAAGTTTATGGGAGCAGAAAGCCTCATCTTTCTCCCATGCAGTGGCCGGTGGATTCAAGTTGCTGACCTTGGGAATGGCAGCCAATGCATAACTCACTATGCTCACAATTCTTGGGTGGAATCTTTTCATTTGAAAGCAATCTCCTATAATTCTGGGTAAGCAACTGCAACCCTTCTGTTTAAATACGCCTGATGGTCATCAGGAATTCCAGATGCCTCCAGTTCCTGAATCTGCCTGGGGCTCTGACTCTGACGTGCGGCTGGGCTGCACCCTCTGTGCCAATCACCACAGCTCGCCTTATGAGAGAGGATAGGTTCATCTTCCTCCTCTCACCCCATCCGTCACCACAATTCCGTCCTCTTTGCATCTTACACAAGTGTGCAGGCTATCTGTTGCTGCCTGCTGTCTTCCCATCCTCTTGTAAGGACTAGATACCAACATGTTCAAGCGCCACGTTGCCCTGTTGAGCAATGCGGCATTCTGCGTTCTTCCCCCAGTACGCCATACTTGTGAACGCATCCCGATTCTGCCTCTTCCTGCTTCCAGATTCAGCTCAGGCATCCTCTCAAGGAAGACACTATTCCCATCTCCTCCACGCACAGTCTGTGCCTCTCTCCAGCCTGACGCCCACCACACAGATCCCTCTGCTTGCACATCTGTCTGCTTCCCTAGAGAGCAAGAAGGCAAGGCGTGTGTCTTACCCAGTCTTCTAACTCTTGCACAAGGGGGGAACCGTCTGGCACATAATCAGTGCTCACTAATATTTCTTCCTGCCACCCACCTGTCAGTTTGTTGTTCTGGGGTGGGTGGGGGCTGCCGTAATGCTGGCAGTTCTGTTACTAGTCTTTCAAATACCAGCAGGGTCACTTATGGTGGATGATGGGTCTCTGTGCTGCTCCTAGACTAAGACAAACTAGGAAGAAAGTCCTGGAGAACTACTTTCAAAAATCAGCCAATGAAAACCTTATGGATCGCAACAGAATACTGTCCAATATAATGCTGGTCTGCCAGAAGAACCTGAGTAGCTTAGTGGGTTACACAACTGACTTGTAACTGCAAGGTCGGTAGTTTGAATCTACCAGTGACTCTAAGGGAGAAAGATAATGCATCCTGTTCCCATAAAGATTTAAAGCCACCAAAACCCCATACTCATAGCGACCCTACATCTGGTTTCCAAGACTGTAAATCTTTATGGGAGCAGAAAGCCTCATCTTTCTCCCGTGGGACAACAGGTAATTTTGAACTGCTGACCTTGAGGTTAGCAGCCTGACTCGTAACCACTATGTTACCACAGTGTGGCGCTGTGAGCTAATGCGTCAGACTGCAAAGTCGTTTGAACTGCAAGGTCAGTGGTTCAAGCTCACTAGCTTCTCCTTGGAAAACCTATACAGGGTCGATATGGGTTGGAATTGACTTAACGGCACTTAACAACAACAACAACAAAACCCTACACAGGGTCGTTATGAATCATGTAGCAGCAGCAGCCACAAGAACAAACAAATCTCTCTTGGAAGACATACAACCAGAATGTTCCTTAGAAGCCAGGATGGCGAGACTTTGCCTCCCATACTTTGGACATGTGGTCAGGAAGGACCAATCCCTAGAGAAAGACATCTTGTTTGGTAAAGTGGAGGGTCCATGGAAAAGAGGAAGACCCCCCCCCGCCAACGAGATAGATTAGCATAGCGGCAGCAACAGCTGATTCAAACATTATAAATGGCACAGGACTGGGCAGTGTTTTGTTATGTTGGACATAAGGTCGCTAGGAGTTGGAATCGATTCGATGGCACCTAACAATAACAACATCACAACGCTGGAAGGTGAGCCTCCTAGGTTGAAGGTATTCAAAACACACAGTGGTTCAAAGAGTGGACTCAAGCTGCCCAGGGTCCTGAAGATGCTACAGGCCTGTGTAGAATTTCCTTCTGTTGTCCACGGGCTCACCATGAGTCATAGTCAACTCGACAGCCACTAACAACAGCACTATTTCTTCAGTTGACCCCTTTCCAGAAAACTCCAAGTTGGAAGCATTTCCAGTCTCGTAGGACTGCGAAAAAATATGCTTCTGTTTATTTGCCAAGTCCAAATAAGACGAGCTAATCAGAGAGCACCAGCAAATGAAAACAGCCAGATGTTTCTGAGAGCAAAAGTCCAGGCATACAAAATTGCTTCCAACAGGGGTGATGTATATTTTCCTAGTGATTCAAAATGAATATATGCTTATTAGGCAGAGAGCGAGGTTTAACAGATTTCTTAGCTAATGCTGCAATTTGAAATCCATTTAAGATAATTTTCTTTATCTTGCATCTATTTTTCCCAGTAACCAGGACACTTAACTGATTTGTACCAACTCTATTTGAAAGAGAAATAATCTCCTTCAAACAAGGGCATCCTCTAAGTAGAAAAAGCAAGACACTACACATCTAAGAGCAAAATCGGTTTGAGAAGCAAGATGCAGCCCTGCTAGAAAAGGGACGTCTTTTTGCTCCAACATCTGGATTTCATCAGAAGTCTCCTTCCTCTGTTTCCTAAGGAGAAGATAAATAATTCTTAAATCTAAGCACACACGAAGAAAGATGCCCCATAAGGCAAGCACGATGGAACCAAACCTTTTAAAGGAACTTCAATAAAAAATATGCAAACTGAGCCAATAATGAGATTATTTTCTCACCTATTAACGAGACTTTTTTTTTTTCTTTAAATGTCAGGACACAACACTTGGTAAGAACCTACTGGAATTCCAATAGAAGGAGACATAGGCACACATTTCCTGGAGGGAAAACATTACAAAAATATTCCTGTTCTGTGATCTTTTATCCTTTTTAGAAGTGTGGATAAAGAATATATGCATCAAATAGATAAACATGAAGATGTGAGTAGGAGGATGTTTTTCAAAATGTTGTTTATAGTCATATAAAACTAAAAATGACCTAAATTTCCAACCAGAGAAATAATGATGAATATTAATAAATTGGGCATGCTGGTAGCTCTGTAGGATAATCACTGGACTGCTAACCATAGGCCAGAAGTTCAAACCCACCAGCAGTTCTGAGGGAGAAAGATGAGGCTTCTGCTCCTACAAAAATTTGCAACCTGAGAAACCTTATACAGAGTCACTATGAGTCGGAACCAACTCCATGGTACCTAACAACAACATTAATAAAATCAGAAAATGCTTATGACAGGAGGTTAAACAAACAAAAACAGGATAAAAACAACCTAGAAATTGGTATAAACTTACAGGCGGAAAATGTTACAGCATGTATCAAGAGCTTCCCCCCAAATTCCTAACCTGTGATTTATTCTACTTTTAGAAGTAGAGAGTAAGAAAATAAATATCAAATCAATGCATGTGAAGGTTTGAGTGGGATGATGGTTAGCCAAGTTTTATTTATAATAATGAAAAATGAGAAAGAGACTCTGCTGCCAGCCATGGAAATTATAATCATTATTAGTAACATCAGAAAATGATCATGATATCATGCTAAATGGGGGAAAAGAATAAAATCAATATAGTACATGCTGACAGTTTGTATCGTAAACAGACTTGAAGACAGTATGCTCAAATTTTTAACAGTTGTCTTCTATAAATAATGAAATACTGGGCACTTTCTATTTTTTTCTCTCTTTTTTTTCATTTAAAATGTTTCTAGATTGCTTTTCTACAAAACACCAGTTTCTATGTAGCTAACATTTGATAATCAATAGTACTCAGTTGATTGGCTGAGGAGGTGATGGAGTTCGATTGACCAATCACGGGAGAAAACATCACAGGCCAGGCATTCACACCAAGCCATAGAGCCAATAAATCTCTTCTGAATGACTGAATCTCAGAACTTACTTTGTGGGACGATAATCCGGAATGGAACGATCCAGTGAGATTTTTTCACTGAGGTAGGAATTGTAGCCATACTTCTCATGGGGCCCTTTGGCTTTTTCCTCTTCAGCTGGGGAAAGGGTAGCAGGAAGACCCCCTTTCCCTCGCCCACCATAACCTTCGATGAGTCCAAGAGATTTGGATAAGCCTAGAAAACAAAGAGGGGAGAAAAAAAATCTCTGAAAATCACTACACCAGAACGTGGCAGTTCAATCTCAGAAGAGCTTCCCTGGGAATTTTCACATTACTTGTCACAGGACAAAGAAATCTCAATGGTACTGTGGGATAAGCAATAGGTCAAGGTTCAAATCCACCAGCTGCTCCATGGGAATAAGATGAGGCTGCTCCTGTTAAGATTTACAGTCTGAGAAACCCTAAGGAGTGGTTCTACTCTGTCTTGTGTGGTTGCTGTGGGTCGGAATTGATTCCACGGCAGTGGGGTTAGGTCACAGAACAAAATATGGGTTCAATTTATGAATCCCAAGTAAATGCTCTGCGAACATCTATATTGAGAGGAAGGCCAGAGCAACTGGGGTGGGGGTGGGGTGGTCTAGAGATCAAATCTGGTTATCTATTAGATCTTTTGTCTCCTTTATTCACGGTGGGATGAGAGTCTATATTAGAAAGAAACAGAAATACAAAACCAGCTGTCACCAAATCAATTTTGACTCTACGTGTCTCACAGAGTTTCCAATGGCTGTGATCTTTCAGAAACAGATTACCAGGTCTTTCTTCTGAGGCTTCTCTGGGTGAATCTGAACCGCTGATCTTTGGGTGATTAGCTGAGCACTTACATAGTCATACCCAAGGATTCCATCTAAGCAAGAGACCACAGCATTGGGAGAAAGATGGACCAAGCAGGACACAAGAAATGGGACACATCAGACTTCTTATTCAGAAGAGCATTGCTGATTCAGTGGGTTAAGTGTTGGGTTACTAATGGTAAGGTTGGCAGTTCAAACCAACCAGCTACTATGCAGGAGAAAGATGAGGTCTGCTTTTATAAAGGTTTAGAAACCCTATGGAGCAGTTTTACCACTGGTGTCGCACTAATGCATAAGTACTTGACCAAGAGGTTGGTTTGAATTGCAAGGTCAGTGGTTCAAACTCATCAGCCATTTCCTGGAAACCCTATACAGGGGCGCTATGAGTCAGAAGCAAGTCAACAGGACTTAACAACGAAACCACCAACATAAGGTCGGTCACTAAGAATCCTAATCAATTCGATGGCAGTAGGTTTGGGGCTTAGTCTTTTCTTTCTTCTATGGTACGTTTATGAGACGCTCTTACAGCGTAGTGGTTAAGAGTTGGGCTGCTAACCTCAAGGCCAGTATTTCGAAACTGCCAGCTGTTCTGTGGGAGAAAAACAAAGCTTTCTGCTCCCGTAAAGATTTACAGCCTCAGAAATCCCATGCAGGGTCTTTAGGCTCACTATGAGTCAGAATCGACTCCATGGCATACTGCCCCCACCACCACCAGCAGGAACCTGCCAAACTGAAGTTATCTTTGCTTCCTTTGAACTGAGAAGTTGGTACAGATTTATTTTATTCCAAGTTTAAAGTGTGTAACAGTCTGAGACAGCTCTTTGCCTAATGGTTTTATTTAAATTTCATTGAAATGGCAGAAAGAAATACAAAATGTTTGAGAATAAATCAGGGAGAAAAAACCCACAAGGTGATAATGATGCCAAGTAGAATGGGGAAACTTCTTTAACAAGCCTCACTGAGCAATTGCAGGCTCCGCGCACGGTGGCAGCTTCATCCCTGTTGTTCCATTAGACGACAAACAGCTTGATGGGCAATTTTTAAATCCAAGACTTATGGGAGGTTTTACTACTTGGCTGGAAAACTTTTTGTTGTTAAGAGCTCTCACTCCTTCTTGCCATATTTCAAGTGCCCAAGGTGCTAAGTACGTACTCACACACACACACACACACACACACAAAGGCACACTTTCCCTGCTTCACACACACATACACACTCACTCTCTCTCTCTCACCCCCACCTGCTGACTTTTCCTGTCACTCACACACTCACATACACTTACTCGTCTTCTCTTTCACACAAACACTTTGCCCATTCGAGTCCCATACTAACTGCCAGGAGGCACATGAACCAGAAAAACAAACAGCTCCCTTGACTTTCAGGTGGGGCAGCCTGCCAAGTACCGTCTGGTTGTTAGCTGCCACTGAATTGGCCCTGATTAATGGCGACCCCACATACAATAAGATTGGACCACTGTAATCCTTAAGGTTCTCACGGACTGATTTTTAGAAGTAAATCGCCAGACTTTTCTTCCTACTACAGTGTAGTCTGGAAGCAACCCTGAAACCTGTTCAGCATTAGCGCAACAGGCAAATTTCCACTTGACAGGTAGGCAGTAGTTACACAGAGGGGCTCACTGGCTGGGAATCGAACCTGGGTCTCCTGCTAGGAAGTAGAGCAGTCTACCACGGAGTCACCACTGCCCTCTCTACAGCACAGAGGAAGATGAACTTCTCAGGAAAACATCCCTAGGACAACAGAAGATCAAGATGTCTGCTCGGGTCACAGGACGGCTCTCCACCACAGAACGGTAAACTTATCTCCCCTCTTGCTTCTCTATGATGTCAAGATCAAATGCCAAGGTTGAGCCCATAGCTCACAGTTGGTCTCAAGTGAGCACCATCTTTCTGCCTGAGTATCACCTTCACTGTTCAACATGCCCTTGAGGAACCTCAACACCATTCCCCTCTTGCAATTCCCCAACAAAGACTCCCAATAACTGATAATCAGGTCATTCCAATGTGGTCTACCACCTGCCCTGTCTTTATTCTCCCACTGCATATCAATGTGTAAGAGCTAATCCCTTCATCTCCACCTTACCATGTGGACAATCACAAATCAGCTTCCAACAGCTCTGCTTGGACAGAACCGTTGATGTTGTTGTGAAGTGCAATCGAGTCGGTTCCGACCCATAGCGACTCTGTATAGTAGGGTTTCCAAGGAGCATCTGGTGAGCTTGAACCACTAACTTTGCAGTTCCAATGACTTTGCAGTCTGATTCATTAGCCCACAGTGCCACACCAGGAGATAACAGTACTTATGGAGAAGTCAAATGACACAGACACTTTGGAAAATCCCACAGCAAACAAGTCAGCTTCAACTCATAGTGACCCCAGAGGACAGAGTGGAACTGCTCCACAGGGTTCCCAAGGCTACGAATCTTTACGGAAGCAGACTGTCTCACTGATCTCCCATGGGAGGGTCAAACTGTTGACCTTTTAGATAACAGCTAGTGACTCGGATGCCCCACTCCTAGGTAGGTATGTGTTACTGTTGTTGAGTTGGTTTCAACTCATAGTGACCCAACGCATAATAGAACAAAACACACTGCCTGGTCTTGTGCCAACGGCTGTTGTTGCCACTCTGTCAATCTGTCTCACTGAGGGTCTTTTTAATCAAATAACATGTGGGAGAATCCCATTATCTTTTAATTCCATTTCCCCACAAACTTTCTGAAGCCTCCTCCTATTATTCATCAAAATACATGTCCACACTAATACTTACACATAAATATTCAGAGCAGCATTACTCAAATGTCCATCAACACAAGAATGATAAACAAATATGGTATGTCCTTCTAATGAATATTATGTGGCAATTAAACAAGAAAAAGTATTGGCTACATGTTACATCTTGAATCAACCTTGAAAACATTAGGCCAAGTAAGTAAAGTCACAAAAACAGTAGTAGAATTCTACTTACAGGAAATATCTAGAACAGGTAAATCTATTCAGAAAGTAATTTAGTGGTTGTTCCAGGGACTACAGATATAGGGCCTCGCATAGCGTACTGGTCACAACTTGGGCTGCTAAGGTAAGGTCAAAGTTTGAATTTACCAGTTTCTCCATGGGTGAAAGATGAGGCTGTCTGCTCCTGTAAAGATTTACAGCCTCAGAAACCCTATATAGGGTCGTTATGAATCGGAATTGACTTGATGGCTCCCAACCACTACCACCATCGGGACTGTGGGAAGGCGTGGGGTTGGGAGAAAATGGGATTTGAAATTCTTTCTGGGGTGATGGAGATGTTCTGGAATTAGACTGTGGTGATGTTTGCATTCTCTATAAATATACTAAAAACCATTAAACTGTATGCCGTAAATGGGTGAAATGTACGGTATATGAAAAATGTCCCAATAAAGCTGCTTAAAAAAACCAAAGCACTTGTAATTCTGTTTCCGGCAAAATGGAAAGCTAAAACAGCATGACCATTTTCCAGTAAAAACCCCTAGAAATGCTGAATGGGATGCTTTCTTAAAATACTTTAAATGCACAGCAGCGCTTGTAAGGATGAAGGGGAAAACTCCCAGAGGTCAATTAAAATCAGAGCTGAGGATGGGCTTCTGCGAGAGAGGAAAGAGGCGCTGCTCAGTAACTGGTGTTGGTAAGTGCTACTGAGTCAGCTCTCACTCACAGCGACCCTGTAGAGGGTTTCTGGGAGTGGTTGGTGGGCTTGAACTTCCGTCCTTGCAGTTACCAGTCCAGTGCTAGCAGTTGGGATTTCAAGCAGGGTACAAGACCTTGGGTTCTCTTGGAGAAATAGATTTGATGCTGTCATTTCTGGAGAAAGCTGGGTCTCTTGAAGGGTATATTCTCTGTTGTTGTTGTTGTTGTTGTTAAGTGCCATTGAGTCCATTCTGACCCATAGTGAGCCTGTATATGATTTCTGAGGAGTGGCTGGTGAGCTTGAATCGCTGACCTTGCAATTCAAACGGCTTTGCATGGTGCATTAACCCACAGCGCCATACCAGGGCTCTCTGAGAGAGGTTCAATTATGAAAATCATAATAAAAAACCAAAGACCAAGCACAGTGAGAGAACAAAGACTACGCTCCCGAGTGGATTTCAGATGCAACAATACTCCCCAGAGCCATCCTAACCCAGAACATAACCTAACACATGGATTTGTAACTGAAATACATTCTATCCTCAGAGGCCAGAGTTTTGTCATTTTAGATCGTAAGTCTTAACGATTCTAAGTCTGCAAGACAGTACAGCCAGATGTCAGGTTGGTGGTTCAAGCTCACCAGTTACTCCTCAGAAACCCTATACAGGGTTGTTATGAATCAGAACCAACTCGGCGGCACTTAACAACAACAACAACTT